TCCCCATAGGTTGGTTAGGTTGGCACCATAATTATCTGGGAGGACATAAGCACTGGCTCGGCTCGTGTCAAGTCATTATAGAATCCCGAATAAGTCAGTGAGTTTATGCCTGCCCGTTTGGAGTTGAACGGACGGTCCGCGACCAGGTACAGAAGCCGTAAATATGGCGTGGGGAGGGTAGTGTGGCCTGCGACGAACAACCTACCGGGCAAAAAAAATTGCAATGGAGGAGCGCTATAGCGCAGTGTAGGTCCAGTGACTACTCCTTTTCTCCAGTGACTCCGCCTCCAGACTCCTGCCTTCAAGGCCCGCCCTTTCAGGTCAGGGAAAAACGAAAGTGTAGGAACGAAATAGCATGAAAATCGTGACTTGTACGGTCGTAGAGTTCTTATCGGGGAATCAAGTGAACGGATGTTAGAGATGGAGGTAATTGGGCACATACAACTGGGATCGGAATGGGGTTCTATCCAGGGCAGTTGGCATGTTTTTTCTGCTTTTTTTCTTCACTATCGAGTTACTCAGAACCTTGTCGTCTATATGCAAACCTCCTAATCCACTATCTGTGATGGCGAATGATCGCGAAATTTGCCTTCAAATACAGAGCTGAACATCGGTTGCTCTTCAAACCACGACGTAGTCCAAATGAGTAATAACTTATTCAATTCTGTCAAGGTGCCGAAAGCATTGTTCATTCTGCACCACTGAGAGAATCTTGTCTGTCTCATTCCTCAACTCCTTTCGGAAAATTTCCATGACCTCTTAAACATGTATTCTTACAGTGCCTTGTCCGGAGAATCGGTGGAGCGCATCATTCATCCAGACGCTTATTTCCGAGTGAGAAAGCTCTCCGACCAACGGTATTGGTGTCATTTTTTTCCAAAATGACTGTCATTAAATAGCGGCGAATTTGATGAATGGTTTTTTGAAGGTGCGGTGAAAAGGTTGGCCCTAACAGGCGGCCGGCATTCCATTGTTGTCCACCGTTTGATTTCAATCTCCTTGGCGGAAGGCGGCTGCTATCCCACTGCTACGATGCAAATTTGCCGAGGAAAAACTGGCTTCAAAATTATTGACTGACCATAATCAAACGGAATCTCGAAGTGGGATATTCATCCTTACTCATATAATAGATGTCGCTGTGTCGTCGTGTGTGTGTGTGTGTGTGTGCCGTCTGTTTTCTATGAAATCCTAGTGTGTTTCCCACGATAAGCATGTGACACATTGGCTCCAAGAAGTGATGTGGGCGGTGTGACGGGAGCACTATTGGTGGGTGACAGGAAGTGATATCAGTTGATAAGATCCGATAAAAGGCGTTAGAAATTGGGAGGTCACCATACACATAACACGGGTGACAGCATCAGCTAGCTCTTGATTCCAAGGTATGATATAGGGTACGGGCCAAGAACATTTATTTTTGAGTGGCAAGAAATTGCGAGCTGCTGATAAGTTTCGATAAGGGGCGTTATAAGGGGAAGGCCACCGTTTTCATAACACGGGTGGCAGCATCAGCGAGGGGTTCATTTCAGCAAGTGATATAGAGGGTGAGATGGGAATATCAACAGCGGGTGACTAGAAGCGATAACAACTGATAGGGGCTGATAAGAGACGTTCAGTCGTCGTCGCTGTTTAAGGCGGTACAACTTTAACATTACCAATTTATAAGGATTCAGTGATAAGAACATTGATGACGGGCGGTAATGATAATGATATATAATGCAGCTGAAACGGGAAAATCGAGAAATTCATCAGTCAAAAGTTTTTTTTTCGGAAATCTGCCGTATATATGCTGCGCAATGATGCGTCAGGTGGTAGAAGTCGAAACTGAAGCAAAATAAGAAGGGAACCCAACAACTGGAAGTTGGGACGTCCTGTCGGTGGTAACATTCGAGCTGTCCGTGCGACACACACTTTGACATGTACAAGCAATGTGAAGTTCTCATTTTCAGTGCCACCCATGACTCTGCAGTGGTCATGCTCTTCGGTGATGTTGCGCTATTTCAACTCATTTTCCTATCTTTTTTAACAAAAAAATAACTGTCACCGGCTGTTTGGCACATTCAGCGGATTGCCCATCCATACCCAAAGGGGGGCCGGAAAGTCGGGCAGCGGCCGACCAAAAGGACGACGCACCCCGGACGGCAGCCGTGTGATCCGACTAGTATGCTATGGATTCAACTATTGAATTCCACATATACACTGTTTCTGTCCTGAGTGATTATAAGCAATTGGCTACGTCTGTTTAATTGTTTGTTTCTCCGCAGATTTATTTTTACCTAAAGGGGAACTTGGAGAGTTCGGTGCGGTGGCCAGAAAAAACGAGCAGCTGCGTGCGCCGATTATAGCGGTACCGCATCAAAACAAAATTAGGATTGGCGTCAGAACAGCTCAAAGGGAAAAAATGGCTAACAAGGGAGGTCTTTCAGGTCGTGGCGCGCTTTTTGGAAATGGTTTGTTGCTTGTTGTAGGGGTCCATACAAGGGTCACAAAAATGGGTTTCATTTTTGCTATGCGTTTCTGGGTAGGTCAAAAACTGAGTGAAAAGAATTTGACAAGAATGGGAGGTTTGCTTAGTAAGAATGGGCGATTTTGACTATCTAGTTTGCTTCGCAATTTTCATTGTAATTCGAGGCATGCAATTTATAGGTGCTCGTTAATTAGGCACCGAAAATAGTCACCCCAATAGTATATAATTCGCTTCGTTTGTTTGTTTGTAAGTTTGTAAGTTTGTTTGTCTGTCCGGAAATTCGGTTCGACCTGAAGAACGACTTGGAGAGGTCGGGTCAAGGTGGGGATGGGTAGAGCAATGGGACAAGAAATAAAAAAGCACACTTGACCTATGCGAAGCCCCGCCCACTGTGGGCGGGGCACTCACTGAAATTTTGGGTTTCACAGAAAAATGTTCATAATTCGCTTCCGGAGCAGCCTAAGATGGTGAAACAAGGGAATAAGGTTAGTAAGGAGTCGCCAGACTAACTGTGGCAGACACATCCAAAATGGGCGGGGCGTACTCAAGGTGGGCGGTGCTTCGCATAAAACTCAGTAACTCGGTTCGCGAGAGTGTTCAGAAGCCGCAAAAAGCTCAGTGCAGAATGTAAATATCTGGCGAGTATTGGGCATGCCCAAAGTGTGTTGAGATCCGCCCACAGTGGGCGGAGCTTGCCCTAAACCGCAGGATACTCACTTTAAAAGTTTGTAGCTCGGTTCCAGAGCACTGCAAAGACCGGAAAACGTGCGTCAAGGTTCGGCAAAGGTTAGCCGGTGAGGACTGTGGGGCAAAAACATTGTGGGCGGACCTGCTCCGAGGTGGGCGGAGCCAGACAAAAGGGTCTGTAAAACGGTTCCAGAGCACTCCGAAGACCGGAAAAAAAAACTTGAATTAAGGTCAGCAGAGGGTCGCCGGTGAGGATTATGGGGCACGAAAATTGGGGGCGGGGCCAGCCCGAGGTGGGCGGAGCCAGACAAAAATTCTCCAAAACTCTCCCAGAGCACTCTGAAGACCGAAAAAAAGTGGATTAAGGTCAGCAGAGGGTCGAAGGTGAGGACCGTGGGGCAAAAACGTTGTGGGCGGAGCCTGCTTCGAGGTGGGCGGAGCCAGACAAAAGGGTCTGTAAAACGGTTCCAGAGCACTCCGAAGACCGGAATAAAGTGAATTCAAGTCAGCAAGGGGTCGCCGATTAAGAAATGTGGGGTATACATGTTGTGGGCGGGGTCAGCCCGAGTTGGGCGGAGCCAACAAAAATTCTCCAAAACTCTCCCAGAGCACTCCGAAGACCGGAAAAAAGTGGATCAAGGTCAGCAGAGGGTCGCCAATGAGGATTGTGGGGCACAAAAATTGGGGCGGAGCCTGTTTCGAGGTGGGCGGAGCCAGACAAACTCTGCAGAACGGTTCCAGAACACATCAGACACCGGAAAAAAAGTGGATTAAGGTCAGCAGGGGGTCGCCTGTGAAGAGTGCGGGGCACAAAAATTGAGGGCGGGTCTGCTCTGAGGTGGGCGAAGTCAGACGAAGAATTTGTAAAACAGCTCAAGAGTACTAATCAGTAGAGTATGCATGTTGAGTCCAGAAATATGTGAGAGAAGGTACGCGCGGCGAAGCCGCGCCCGCCCGGCGCAGCCGGGCCGTATCAGAAGGAGCCGCGCCGGCGTCAGCCGGCGAGGCGACTGGTTAAATAAAGTATCGTATCGTCGTCCCATCCAGAATCCATCGAGTTATCCGCTGCGCCGTCCGATCCGCCGACAGTGAGCTTGAGGGGACCGCTGACAAAAACATCACTTTTGCGTCAGTGCATGCGAAGTGTGTTACTACATGATATTTCAAATTTGACTTTATTTGAAATTATTTTCGAAGCCTAATTCAAGAACACCTCATAAACTATGCATGCTCGGAGTTACAATCAGAATTGAGCCTATTAAGATAGTTAAAATCGCCCATTCTTGTCAAAATTTTATTTCTACGTCAATTTATTGACCTCAGAACTGCGCAGCAAAAATGAAACCGCATTTTTAAGATCCTCCTTTCATTGACGCTCTACAACAAGCAACTACACCATTTCCAAAAACGCGCGCGCACGAACGTGAATAGACCTCCTTGGTAAGTTTACAAAGGAACGAAAATGCGGATTGGCAAATGAAGGGCAGGGTGTTGTGTTGCCACAAATAGCGCAGAAAATCGTTGAAAGAGGAGCAGGGGAAAGGCAAATTACTGCAAAAATTGTTGAAGAGGAGCGGGGGATTGGCAGGCTGCTCAGTCATGTGTGGCACTAACCATAGGTACCCTGTCGCTGATTGTGAGCGTTGGAGAGCATCGCTGTCTCCGACGGGAAGCGCAGTAGCGCCTCTAGCCATGGATGTTGCTTGTGCTGCAGATTTACTGGAGTCAAACGACGTTTCGTTCCTGTGTAGGTACTCTAGTTTGTTCAGCTTTCACAAGTTGACTGGATAAACTTCGCCGTGGCGAACTGGCGTAGGGTTAGAAGCTTCCCCAATCTTGTATAAGGTTGATGAATAAAGCAATTGCAGCACTTATATATCACTCGATGATCTATCATTACTTGGCTCACTCCGGTTATAGAGCAGCAGCTGAAATGATGCAGGCGGAATGCTATGAGGTCAGTGAAACTTCTACGATAACTTTTTCAGGTGGTACTGTACTTGAGAGGGGTCACGCGCTGATGAGCCTGAGAGCGTTTTTTGTGCCGTCTTTACGAAATGGTTATTCCAGTGGTCCTTCACATGCTCACTCAAACGTTGGGCGGCTCAGTGTTAGTTCGTGCTCCCTCTTCTCAGGACGCACAGCAGCGGAGTCGGTCTCACCGCAGCGTAGCTCCTCCCAGCTGCAATCCCTCCATTTGCCGTCAGAGCATTTGATAATGTCGCACTCATTCGTGACGGTTTCCAGATTAATAGAATGAGCCCACTCCGACGTTTCCACCACTGTTTGTTTCCTTCCTAAATCTTTCACCAACTGCTCACCATTAGTAGAGGAAGGCAGCCGGAGGAGGGCTCAATCTGTCACCACCCCTGCCACCACCACGACTTTTTGCGACATTATCAACCACACCTTTCCAACCAAATCAAGGCGATTTTTTCAAGACGTTCCTGTCACGTGGCTTTCTCGAGGAGAATGTTGTTTCCTACGAAGACGAAGCTGTCGGGAAAAGCTTGGAGAAGTTCAAGCTAAAGAGTGGAGCAACCCTGAAAAGGCCTGCCATAATCAGAAATGGAAACACTAAGGCGCCGAATATTCCTATGAAGCCCGATCCAGAGTTTGAAGATACAAAGAACAAATTACGAGACACAATTCAAGCCATGGCAGATGAGTCAGCAAAGAAGCATAAGGAAAT